AGATGATTTCATTAACTTCACCAAAAATACAAGGAAGAAGCCTTTAAAAATCGAAGACTAGAAAGATAAAAACCCCACAGCGATATCAATTGATAAACCAGGGAAGTACAACTGCTAAAAAGAAATGATATCGCAAAGGGAAGCCAAAACAGTAGCAAATTAAGTTATTGAGTGACCATGTAGATCATCCCTCGAAAAGAACCTGCATCAAAAAGTGTGGTAGAGCTTGATTCGCCGTTCTTGGGGTGGGGTTTGGTTGCTTTTTTTTCTTCTTACGAATACGATCTTATTTTTGTTACTAAACAATATACAAGTGAAGTAATATAAAAAAAATTAGACTCTCTGCACGCACTTCCGCGCCTGCGAGAGGTTTTTTTCAAAAAAATTTAAATTTATTTTAGAATTAAAAAAGATAATGGGTAGTTGTGTTCCATAAAAAGATATCAATTATCTGAATTTTCTTTTAATTTTAATTTTTTTAAATATGAAAAAGTGTGAAATTATTATTCACACTTTTTCATATTAAAAAAATTTAAAATTAAAAGAAAATTCAGATAATGGCCTATTTTTATGGAACATAACTACCCATTATCTTTTTTAATTCTAAAATAATAATTTTTTTTTTTCAAAAAGCCTCTCGCAGGCGCGAAAGTGCGTGCCGAGAGGCTAGTATAAGTGAAGTGAAAAGAATTTAATACAGGTAAAGGTAAAATAGGAAAGAATAAAAAATAAAAAAGAACAAAATTCATGAAAAAGTATTAAAAAATCAAAGGGAGTGTAAGTGGAGAAAATGAAAGTGGGAAAATCAACTCCCATAATTTAAAGGTCATTGTTCCTTAGTAAACTTTAGTGCCTTGTAAAGTTTTAGGGCATATTTACGTATCAGTAATGGGTATGAGAGGAAAGGGAATGATTTCCATTCCTGATTTCGCCTGCGTTTACTTGCAATCAGGAATGAAAAAATAAGTAGGCCTCACCTCAAAATCCGTAATCACATCCCCTTAAAACTAGGTATCAGATCAACTAGGGGGAGTAGTCGATACGATTCCCATTCCTGTTTTCTCTTAATAACTTCCAAAAATACCCTTACCACTTTACCATAATTCCAACTAGGGGGAGTTTAATCGTATGAAGATTATGCATGTTATTATTATTTGATTGTTTACTAGTTACGTAGGTGAAAAATATATATTTATTGGAGTTTATTTTTGTGTTTGAAATTGGCTCTGGACAAAGGTGTTATTAACATTATCATTGAACTGGGCTCTTGCTATTCATCTTGTTCAGCATATTGATTCCTCATGTTTACATCGCCTTACTGGTTTGCTGAAGGTTTATGGAACATAACGACCCATTATCTTTTTTAATTCTAAAATAAATTTTAATTTTCGCGCATGAGGAGATGCTAGTATAAGTGAAGTGAAAAGAATTTAATACAGGTAAAGGTAAAATACGAAAGAATAAAAAATAAAAAAGAACAAAATTCATGAAAAAGTATTAAAAATTCAAAGGGAGTGTAAGTGGAGAAAATGAAAGTGGGAAAATCAACTCCCATAATTTAAAGGTCATTGTTTCTTAGTAAACTTTAGTGCCTTGTAAAGTTTTATCTATAAATTACCTGAAGATATGACAATCCAAATTTCAACAAAAAAATAAAAAGACACGACAATCTAACAATAAGTTATACTACCCCGCTTGCATAGGGACTATAATGAGAGGTTATAGTGAGGGACACTAGCCTGATACGCCCTATGGTATACCCACACAAGGGGTCCAAAGTAATATAAGTTATGAAAATGATTACTTTTAGGGCATGTTTACGTATGAGTAATGGGTATGAGAGGAAAGGGAATGATTTCCATTCCTGACTTCCCTTGCGTTTACTTGCAATCAGGAATGAAAAAAATAAGTGGGCCCCACCTCAAAATCCGTAATCACATCCCCTTAAAACTAGGTATCAGATCAACTAGGGGGAGTAGTCGATACGATTCCCATTCCTGTTTTCTCTTAATAACTTCCAAAAATACCCTTACCACTTTACCATAATTCCAACTAGGGGGAGTTTAATCGTATGAAGATTATGCATGTTATTATTATTTGATTGTTTACTAGTTACGTAGGTGAAAAATATATATTTATTGGAGTTTATTTTTGTGTTTGAAATTGGCTCTGGACAAAGGTGTTATTAACATTATCATTGAACTGGGCTCTTGCTATTCATCTTGTTCAGCATATTGATTCCTCATGTTTACATCGCCTTACTGGTTTGCTGAAGTATTAGTTTGGTCTCCTTAGCCAATTTGAGAATTATATATGTGCTGTGGTGAAAATGTGCCGGACATTTTAGTAATCAAATTAATTTGGATTCTAATTCATGAAATTAGTAAACAATAACAATGGGAATCAACCTCATTCATTTGCTAATTCCATATGTTTAGTAAACAGCTTAATGAGAATAATTCTTCCCATACCGATTCAGTAGTTCCCCGATTCCTAAATATCTGATTCCTTACATTCTCCATTACTGATATGTAAACATTCTCTTAGTGTCTATAAATTACCTGAAGATATGACAATCCAAATTTCAACAAAAAAATAAAAAGACACGACAATCTAACAATAAGTTGTACTACCCCGCTTGCATAGAGACTATAATGAGAGGTTATATTGAGGGACACTAGTTTGATACGCCCTATGGTATACCCACACAATCTCTCTCTCTCTCTCTTTTTTCTTTTTTGGACGAAACCATATCTCTTCTTGAGAGTGGTTTTTATAGAAATTTAACTTATAAGAAGTTTTTTAGATCAAATTTTATTGACTATAGTTCAATAGCTTCCGAACTTTTAAGTGCGGTCCAAGTACAAAGATGAAAAGCTAACACATATGACATGCAGAAAGACAAGAAAAAACTACAAACATGTAATTCTACTTCATAAGCATCAAAGGAATCGAAAATGGATTTTAGATTTTGTGACCTCAAACAGTTATAAAGTACCATAAATTTTCACCCTTTTTTTGCCCTTTTGGCTGGAAATACTTTATTGACTAAATAACAAACAACTCAAAAGCAACAACAGAGTTATTAGAACCCAACAACAAAACCAAACCAAACCCGCTACTCCATCCACAACACCTGTATTAATTTGAATACAGCCTTCAAAATTTATGGGACATCACACATCAAGAAGTGAGGATAAGGGTTGATCAACTCTACCCTACCATAAATTTATCTCAACAGAAGAAAATAAGGCTCCCTTCGGATGGAAGGATTTGAAATTTGGATTGAATGTATTTGAAATAACTAGATGTAGTACATTTGAAACGGATTTGAATGACTACATGCAGGGACGGTTCCATGAACATGCTAACCTAGGCTATAGCCAAGAGAACTTGTTTTTTTTATACACTAAATTAATACCCTAGCCTAGGCCACTCAAATAAAATCTTATTAACTAATCCCGCTAGGTTGACCAACCAAAAAAAAAAAAACTAACCTCCCCCACTACACGTGAAATATTAGACTCCCACTAGGCTGACTGCACAACTAGGCTAATCACATAAATTCTCTCTCTCTCTCTCTCTCTCTCTCTCTCTCTCTCTTTTTATTTTTTATTTATTTTTTTAATGTTGAAATTTTGGGGATTATTTAGGGTTTATGAAGTATAAATTAAGGATTTATAATTGAGGTTTATCAATTATGGATTTACAATTCGGGCTTATCAGTTTATGAGTTGCAATTGATTTTGGTTTGTTCAATTATCAAATAGGATTTGAAATTGATTTTGGTGTTCTTGCTTGTATGAATTATCAATTAGGGATTTTGATAAAGGCCTAGTTTCTTATTTACAATTGATGACATTTTTAGGATTTTGATTAGGGATCAAAGACTCTTCGAGATTTTTCTAAGAGAACAATGACGAATCATCAATTATGTCCCCCTATGTATATTTTTTTGTTATCAATGAAATTCACTTGTACCGTCGAGTTTTCTATAAGTTTGTACGTAAGGTAAATTTAGCCCATGTTATTTTGAAATTCTCGATCTGTCCCTAACTATATGCAAGGAATCATTTGAAATCCATTTGTTTTCTTCATTTCTTGTCTAAATCTTGACATACATGAATTGTAATATTCTATACAAACATATCTACATTACAATATCATTTACTTTCATAAATTTGGAACCCTCCATCTAAATAGAGCATAGTGCGTATATCCTCCAAAGTTCAACATTTGGACCTATCACACAAATGAATATAAAATCATATAATTTTTTGTTTTCAAATCTGTATAACATGATGAGCAACGATACAAGGCACATGAGTCCTAGCTTATTTTCTTGCACAATTTTATCTCTGATATATTTGATTGTATAATTTAGATATAGCCCCACCCAACCAAGAAAATTAAGAACCCAGCACCCAAGGCCCAACCCATCCCAGGCTTGTAGGTTGGATCACGTACAAAGCTTAGCCCAACCTAATTTTATGTAGGCTTGATATCCACCCAGATGGGTTCGGCTGCAAATTCAGAATTGGTATATGCCGGTGTTCTGGTTCTCTTCCGGCCCAAGTTTAAAAAATAATAATTTATTTTAAATATAAGTTATATTGGAAGAGGGAGAAATCGAACTTAAAACCTCATATGCATGCATGATTAAAATTCTTAACCACTTGAGTTACCAGCTCTTTGCATTGACAAAATTTTTTAGTTGAACCTTTGCCCCACAATCAACAAAAATAAATCCAATAAGACATGTGTCACAAATAGCTTGTGGATCAACTGGTTAAAAACAGTTACTCTTTCATCTGAAAAAAAAAAACAGTTACTCTCATCTACTGAGTCCCCTATCGAATCCCCCTTCCTCAATATCTCATGTAAAATAAATAAAATAAAATGTAAAAGAAACACGTGGCAGTCAATGGCGGGGAATAGAAATAGCCTCCCCGTCAACGGAGGGTCCGAAATCCTAAAAAACGAGTAGCTATCGGTATCAAGTTTTAAAACGCTAAAAACAAATGATTTGCTAATTCTGCTTCCCACCGTTCTTATCGCTAAACCCGTCCCCCTCCATTTCCCTTCAAAACTCCAATTTTACGAAAAAATAGAAAAAACCAGATAAACGAAAAAAAAACACACACACACATAAAAATAACCCAAAAAAAAAACTAGCTCTCCACGCGCCGCCTCACGCACCCCGTGATCGCATTCTCAGGAAGCTTCTAGAACCATGGACCCGCCCAAGCCCGTCTCCGAGGCCGAGGCCAAAACGCAGGCTTCGAACCAGACCCAAGATCCGAAACCGAAAGCGGCCGGCGAAGCTCTGGACGGGGATCAGAACTGGGCTACCTTCGTCATGGGATCAGAGGCTCAGACTCAGACCGAGGCCTCCGGGACTCCCACGGGTTCCGGGCCCAAGAAGTCGGTTCATTGGAGCCCAAAATTGGTCTCCGAATCGCACAACAGTAGCGCCGGTGCCGCTTCTGATTCGCATCAGGGATCCAATCCCTACGTGGCTCCTTCCCCAATGCTCACCTCCTCTTTCTCATTCAAAGGTAGTATTTCTGTAATTCTACGTGTATATACTTATTTGAATCCGTATATGTATGCGTATGAATACGACGTATTTGTGTATTGTGTGCATGGTCAGATTCGGTGGAGACTGTAAGGGGCGTGTTTGGGAGGTGGAGAAAGTCGGTGGGGGAGGCTACTAAGAAGGCTGAGGATCTCGCTGGAAACACGTGGCAGCACTGTGAGTTTCTGCTTGCTTTTTGCCTCTTCTTTTCTTTGTTGATCTCTGTCGATTAATTTGCTTCAATTTTTCTTCTACATGTTGTTTTGAAAATGATGGGAATTGTATTAAGATAGGGTTCCAAATGTCTTGGTTGCTTTGTCATATTCCATTTGCCAATTTTGCCGCACTGTGAGTTTCTGCTTGCTTTTTGCCTCTTCTTTTCTTTGTTGATCTCTGTCGATTAATTTGCTTCAATTTTTCTTTTACATGTTGTTTTGAAAATGATGGGAATTGTATTAAGATAAGGTTCCAAATGTCTTGGTTGCTTTGTCATATTCCATTTGCCAATTTTGCCTCCTTTGCTTTTTTCATGAATATTAGGAGTTGACATTTTATTTGTGTTGGTTATTCTGATTAATCCCTGTTTCTGAGATTTGTGAAAAATAATAGGTGTGGTCTGTCCTAATCTTATTCGGTAGATTTATCGATGAACACGAGAATCGACAAGTTTAAAATTTGTGAGGAGGATTAGCCAAGCAACCTCTTGTAAAACGCTTAGCCAGGTGCTTGAAAAGTGTTCTACATAGGCTGGCTGTTAGTACCATCCTCTAGTTTCTCTAACCATCTGAACTAATTTCCTGTCGAATGCTTTTCTTTTGTTGTTTCACTTTGAATACGCAAATTAAATTCTGCTTTTGTCAGGAAAAAATGGAATTTCAATCTCTCTTGATCTCCCCAATTTTGCTTTTGTTATTCTTATTGTTTACTTTGTCCATTTTGTTGATCCAAAAATATTGTGATTGTGATGGATGAAGTCACTAATCATCCTGTTTTATTTCAAACTAGTGAGAACAAGCCCTAGTTTTGCTGATGCTGCCATGGGAAGAATTGCACAAGGAACAAAGGTTCTAGCAGAAGGTGGTTATGAGAAGATCTTCCAGTCAACCTTTGAGACAGCTCCTGAGGAGCAACTTCAAAATTCATTTGCATGTTACTTATCCACATCAGCGGGTCCAGTCATGGGAGTTTTATATGTTTCTACCGCAAAACTTGCTTATTGTAGTGATAATCCCATTTCATACAAAGCTGATGACCAAACTGAATGGAGCTATTACAAGGTAAGTTTGCATATGTGCTTACTATTGTGTCTTTAAAAGGTTTTTCAAATATGGGATTTCAATTAACAGATAACTTTCTTACCGAAGCATTATTGAGTGATTTATTTTGTTTATTTCTATGACTGCATTATATTATTATAATGTAGAAAATCGTGATAGTGAATCAGGATGTGCGTAAGACATTTGAAGGAAGCTTCCCTCTTGTCTTCCATTATGATGGTGATTCTTCATCTAAGTATTAAAGGGAACATAAATTTTGACAGTGGGATTACTATCAAGGCTTGATATGTGACACTTAGTGTATATAATTTTATTCTGACTTGATTCTCCTTATTCAGAACTTATGAACCTCTGCACTGCTGATCCTTTTAGCCAATTTCAACTTTAATCATAACAAGTCTTTAACATTCAAATTTTAGAAAGTAAAATAAATTTTTAGAGTGAAAAATTGGTCCTGTGATAGCACTTTTAAGGGTGTCTGTTCTTGGATGTCAAAATATTTTAAAATGGAGCTACCATGAATACTCCACTGCTAGTTTGTTGAAAAGTCTTTGTTTTGTGGATAGAAATTCCTTTCCATCTATCTTTATTTGGACCCTTGTTGTTCGCAATTGGAGGTGTAAATTGTGTTTATGACCAACTCTAGTTGTTTTTTGTTTCAAAGTATGGATTGGGGCTTAAATTGATGCACCATATTGTTAGGCAATTGCTGAGCTAAGCACATGTATGGATGAAAAGCATTCAAGAGGTTCAAGCTTGATTTAAATTTCAATGAGCTTGTTTAGTTCACCATAGGCTCTTCAACTTTCTATTTGAGCACAAAAAGAGGAGGACTAGATCCAGAAGGGATGTTCAAACTGAAGTAGTTCTAGAGGGGGGAAGCATATAAGAGCATTATGCTAGATCCCAATAAATGAGAAGCAAGAAATTAATTTCCAACATAATTTTTGTTTTGGAATTTGGGGCCTTTGTTGTGATCATTTGGTTCTTTTCTTTTTTTCTATCTTCAGTGGGCTTGTGAACTTCATTACTAATGAACTTGTTAAAGGTAGGTTCTGGCTAGATTAGCTAGTGAAGTCTCTTGGCAGTTGGCATTGGAAACGAGACCTAGAACACATTATATGGGGGAGGCTGACGGCTAACCCTTTTTGTGTAGCCTGTTTGATCAATATTGATTATGATTTGAAGCTTGTTGATCTAATATTTCCATGATTGTTGCTTGTTATTAGGTGAGCCTAGTGTTGTCCTCATGTGTTTTTATTAAAAGAAATAAATAATTACTCTACTGCTTCTACTTATGTTTGCCCTCACTTTTTCTTTTCCTGCCTCTTGGCAAAGATGTATTTGTTATTTACTGTGTCGCATAAGAGCGGTGGTAATTTGCCCATAGTGAAATTATGTCATCGTTGTTGTGAAACCAAAGATGAGGAACAACTTTTTCATTTTACGTTGGCATAAGGAAATAGGGAGTTACATGAAACTAGTTCTGATTTTGTTATTCGCTACTAAATTATGGCAGTTGGTACATAAGATATATCTTTGTGCTTAAATGAAATCATATTAATTAATTCAAACTAGTTTATTTGGTCAGGCTTCGTGATATATTCTTACTTCTTAATAATATTGTTAAACTGTTGTTTTTCAGAAGACATTGTTTCTGTAAGTTCTAATTCTTTTGATGAGTATTTTATTTTTTTAGCAATTATTTTACTCATTTCGTTATACTCTGTAATATTGGTAGGTGGTTATCCCATTACATCAGCTTAAAGCAGTTAATCCATCATCAAGCAGATCAAACCCTGCTGAAAAGTACATCCAGGTTATCTCCATTGATAACCATGAGTTTTGGTTCATGGGCTTCTTAAATTATGATGGTGCTGTGCAATCCCTACAAGAAGCTCTGCAAGCCCGGAGCTCATGTGTGTGATAATTATTCTTGTGGGACACAATTTTTGCTTTTTGCCCATCGTAAGATGTTTTGTAACTGATAAATTTATAGATTAAATTATTCAACACTGATTTTGATACCGTATGCCACACTTGTGCAAATTCTTTGAAAGTCCTGTGAAAATGAGATCCAGTAATTTAACATTTTTCATATGGTCATACTTTTTTAGGAGAATGAGATTCAGAATTGTTGCTTTTAGTCCGTATGATGATTCTTGTATGCGAAAAACCGAAATCGCATAAATCTTGTGAAGTTTAGTTCTGCCTTTATTCATGGAGATTCATGATGTCCTTCTAGTTCTGCCTTTATTCATGATGATTCTTGGCATTGTTTGCTTGGTGTCTGATGCCAAGAATGGATCAAAGTGAGGTTCGTTGTCATTTGGTGAATAATTCTGAGATTCAGGGGTTATTTTTCACTGTCATGAGGTGAATTCATGTGAGTGTCTAATACTAACACCTTGAGGTTGCATAATTTTGTGATATTTGGGGATTGGTGATCTATTTGTGGAACCTACCAATGCTGAGTAATTTTGGAGGGCATCCGTCAAGCTTTTAACCTCTTAGGCCTCCGTCGGCGTCTGGTAGCCCGGACAAGACTATTCCAATTAAAATGAACTAGTATCATCTCCCACCTAATAAAACCGAGATTACACTCATTAAATTGGACAAATCTTCAGTAAGGGTGAGATTGCGGTTGGGTGCAATCATCTGATTTTGTTCATCAAATAAAGCAATATAACAGATGAATGAAATGGTAAAGAGAGAGTGTGCTATTTCTTCTCAATTGACAATCACTTCTTTCACAAGTCGCAGAGTTCACTTCTTCTCACATATTAAAGAAAACAAGTGATCTCCGCAGAGGTTGGACTCTATGGGACAAGGGCCGAACTCAGTCCAAATTCTGTTCCGGCAGATGCACTAAGGACTCGTTTTGTGGCATGACTTAAATTAGGTTGGAGTTGTCCAAGCCAGTTCTTGTAAGTTATACCTATAAACAATGGATTTTTAACTCAAATTATCTTTAAATTTATACCCGAGTTGTATTTTGGTTCCTCAACTAAATTTTTCGTTCAAATAGTTCACCAACTTTTTATTATTCGGTGAATTGATCCCACCCTAATATTTTCTGTCAAATTAAATCATGTGAGCAGCACATGCTGCATTTTTTAGAGGTAAATAGGATTTTTGATAGCTAAAAAAATAAAATAAAAGATTAAAACTTTAAAAACAAAAACAAAAACAAACCTCCAGGCTACAGCCATCCCTCCCTCCCCCTCCCCTCCTTCGCTACCCATTTCCCTCTCTCAACCTCTATTTCTCCACCACCCTCAACTGGTTCGGCTTCTTCTTCCAGATCTTCCTTCAAATCATCCGAGTCCTCGGCCACCACCCCCTCCTCTCGTCTTTGTCCTCTTCCGCCTCCTTCAAATCCCTGCCCGTCGTCGGAAATTCTTGTTCTAATTTTTGGTTTTATTCATGTTCTGTATTAATCAATTAAAAAAAGTTTTGAGGCAGAGCCACCCTCAGCCCTAGCCCCAATCCACACCCACTCCCCACCCCCTCTGCGTTCTACCTCACCCTTTCCTAAAGCTGGCAATGGGTAATAAACAGAGGTCTCAACCCAAACCCCACCCATTTAATAAACGTCATGTTGGGTTCGTGTCGTCATAAACAGATTATTAAACATGTTACATAATTAATAACCTGTTTAATAAAAAGTGATAGCAACTAGTAATCAATGGAATTCGGTTCTTAATAACTCCATCAGTTGTTTTTTTTTAGTGGGAGAAACCAAAGAGAGAGAGTGAGATTGATGATGTGATATGAGAGCTTAAGAGAAAAAAATTAGACATAAGCAGTTGTTTTTTTGGGTTGATTGAAAAAAAGGCATTGAAGTGGAATTCGGTTCTATATAACGTGCTTCCCCTTTTTTTTTGTTACAGAAAAAAAAAAATTAATCGTGTTGAAGGGAAAAAAAAAAAAGATTTAATCGTATTTAATGACTAATTACATGTGTTTCTCCTTTTTTGTGGGACATGTTTCTTTATCTTTTTTTAAGTTACCAAAAAGAAGAGTAAAAATAAAATATATTGTAGTACAAGTGTTGGGGTTAAATTCTGGGTAACACCAACGAGAATCATGTGAATGAAACCAACTTAACAGAACATTCATTCAATGTACTGGACGCTTACTTATATACATTATATTTATAAATAAAAAGGTTATATATATATATATTTTAACGGGTTGGCAGGTTTACTTAAAATTCACTTATTTATTAAACGGGTCATAGCATGTTGATTAAAAAATGACTTAAATTTTTATTGTGTGAGTTGAACCCACTAATTTTTCGTGCGGATTTTGAGTAGTGTAACGGGTCGTGTCGTAAATTGCCACCCCTACCCTCTCCCTCTTTTGTAATGAATTAATGAATTAATATTTTAGTATAAATTGACTGTTTTAACCCTGAAATTAACGATAATATTGATGGAGTGTAATGCTATGACAAATTTGTCAAATAATAAAGAGTTGGTTGACCATTTAAACGAATAATTTAGTTGAACGATCAAACAGCAACTGGGGTATAAATTTGAGGATCATTTGAGTTAAAAACCCCTAAACAACTGGACTCTTGTCCATTTCAATAAGAGCAATCCCATAATAGGAGTCCCACCAACCAAACGCGGCCTTAGGTCTTGTAAAATTGCAAACGCTCTTACTAAACAAAAATCTGGTTATTTCTGGGTCTCGAGATTATTGGAAGTCTAGAAAACGTTGGTGATAGTGGAGTGGGTCTTTGGTATGCAGCATTGGCAGCAGATGATGTGGTGGGGGCAAGGCTTTTTCTCTCTTTCGGCATAAATGATTTCCACAAATCCTATTTTGATCATTCTAATAATTGGGCCTATAATGTCCCAAATCAAAGCATCTATAAAAACAACAAACTGTTTACGAACATGCTTAGATTAGATGGATTAGATTAGTGACCCACGTCTTTCATTTTGCACGCGCAACCGTCTTGTCTTAGTATTTTAGCCTATAATTGGATCTTAAAGTGTGATTAAAGCAAATTCATTACAAAAGTCTTCCAAATCTGCTTCACGCTTGACCGCCCAAGTGCCATTCTATGCCTACCACAGCTTCCAGAGCCGGACTTTGTGATGATTGTAAGATCATTTCAGGGAAAAGAAAAGAAAAAGGATCTTGGGGTGGTTTGGGGTCTAATAGAATAGGTAAACCAAACCGAATATCTCGGTAATATCGGCTTTTGTCAATTAGGTTTATCAAGATTCTCAATTTGGGTTGTGATTGGACCCTCAATTCATAATGGTTCGATATTTGGTCATTTTGGGCACAAATGTCCGCCTCCTGATCAGATTCGGTTATGAAGTTGTTATGGTGTAAAGATAAACTCTCTTTTCGCAAAAAAGTTAAGCATAAAAATATTTTGTATGTCCAAACAATCTGCCTGCCATTGTCTATTTACCTACATACCCATAACATTTCCAGAGTTTTTTTTTTTTTTTTTCTTCATAAAAATGTTCATTGATGCAAGCCTCAAAATTTCTCAGGTCTAGCAAGGTTGGGCCACATGCTATGCTATGATCACTAATGATACTTAGGTCAATAGGCAGTGGCCCCTTAATTTCCAGTTAAAATAGGAACTTGATGATGCTTGAGTTGAACTAAGCAAAAGGGTTGGTTGGGGCAGGTCAAAGAGGGATTGATTAGTAATGATCTTTGTCTTCTTAGAACTCAGTTCTGTCAAATTTAATTATCGAGAATATTATTGTTTTTTTCGAGTCTATGATATTTTGAAATATATTCATACGCATATCGTATAAGTATCTATGATATTTTGAAACATATTCATACACATATCGTATAAGTATCGATAATATTGGAAAATATCGACATCGATAATTTCTCTCACACTTCAGCAACATTTGGCCAAAATATCGCTATAATATCAATAATATCGAGATGATGAAGACAATGAAAATTTTGAAGAGTTATTTACACTAACACCCCTTGAGGTTTCTTGTGTTTTCACAAAACCCCTCATGTCTCAAAAATTACACGAACACCCTATGAAGTTTCATTTTCACAAAATCCTTTTTCATTGATTGTTTATCCAAAAATTGATTATTTCATTGAATTTTTTTTTATGCAAATGACAAAATGAACCTCAATGAAGTATATGCAATCTAATCTCAAATGTCAACTTTTTCATTTAGAGAAATTTTTTTTTGTATAAAATTATCAATCTTTAGAAGAAAATCAATAAAAATGAGTTTTGTGAAAACTATTTAAAACCTCAGGGGGTGTTCTTATAATTTCTAAAACCTCAAAGAATTTTGTGAAAAAACAGAAAATTTCTGGGGGTGTTACTGTAACTAACTCAAATTTGAACTTTATAGGAACTCTATGTGGTACTAAGTCACTTACGTATCTTATTATGCAGTGTATAAAGTATAAAATATTGTAGTAAATCATTATAAATAAATGATTATGGTGTGTTTAATCTTCTTTCATTAATTACTACATATTTTCTACACTTACAACGTTTGTCAGCTCGCTATATAATCAACTTAAATCAGTTAAACTCATCATGCAATGTATTTCTTTCCTATTTTTTTGTGATAAAGTAATAGATAATTAACTAAATAAACATCCTCTAAAGTTTCAAGAAATTTTTTCAAGTTTTTCTTACAAGTTCCTGGTTTTTTATTCAATTTTTTTCAATATCAATAATTTCTCGATATTTCCGTATTTTCGGCCCACCGATATTTCCGAAACCATCAATATTTTAGACTTTATTCATATATAATCTTCACTTTTCTTCTTCTTTTTTTCTTCAATTGGCCTTGGTCATTTATGAATGTGCCCATATTTATGTAACCTGATAACCCTGCACTGCACATTTTGGAAGCCTTCGTGGCATTCATAACCCTTTTTCTCTCAAAGTATGCAATTGTACTGTTCCATTAAATAATCATTGTCCTTCAATTCATGACAACTCTCTCAGCTATCAGTCATCAGTCATCAGTCATCATCATGTTTTATAATCCAAGTGTATCTGATTAATTAATTAACTTTCTTCCCTTAATTAATAAAAACCCATATGTCGGTGGCCTTGGTTATGTA